CAGGTCTCCTCACACTGCTGCTGTGTTACATTTTTTGTCATAGGGTGCTGGCAGATTACGGGCCTCCCATTGCTGCTGCCAGGCCCGTAATCTGCCATGGGCCCCCATACCGACTCCTCATGCTGTGACGTTGCAACAAGGTGGAATTCAACCCTACATATGTTAGACCGCCTTTACGAGCAGCGAAAGGCCATCACAGATTTCCTGATGTTACAAGCGGATAAAGGTACTCCCTGTGTAACTTAGATGTCAGCCATTGGCAGCTCATGCGTGACACCTGCCGCTTGCTCAGGCCCTTTGAGGAGGCCACGCTATTCGTGAGTCGGCAGGACTATGGGATGAACGACGTCATTCCTCTGTTGCACGTCCTGGAACAAATGCTGTTAACAATGGCTGGTCAGGGTGCGGTAGACGTGGCGCACAGATCTCAACGCCACATGACCCCTGTGGGGGCAGGACAGGAAGAAGAGGAGGAGGTAGAGGAGGACATTGGTGCTCAGGAATTATTGAGTGAAATGGGTGGTTTTTCCACTCAGCGGACAGGAGTGGAGGAGCATCTGGTAGAGGAGGAGGAGGAGGAGACAGAGGACCCAGACGCACCGTGGCAGTATGCTGTGAAGATGGAGGCAGGGAGTCCCTCGCATTCCTTGGCACAAATGGCCCATAGCATGCTCGGTTGCTTGCGTAGCGTAGCGACAGCCGAATAATAACCATCAGACAGAGGGATGACTTTTGGCTGTCCACATTGTTGGACCCTCGCTACCGTTCAAAAATGGTGGCCTTTTTCACACCTGCTGAGAGGGAGGCCAAAATAAAGTACTATAAAAACCACCCATATAGTCAGCTGGTCTCTGCCTTTCTGCGCCAACGTCCATCCTCAGACACTGTGGGCCCTGTGCGCTCGCGTTCCGCTGCCATGGCAGCAGGGGAGGGGTGGGGTGGTAGGAGCAGTGGCAGCTCCACCAGCAGCGGCTGCCTCAGTCTGCAGTCGATGATGAGTAGCTTTCTTCACCAGCGCAGTGAGGAAACTACTAACCACCCGCAGCAGCAGCAGCATCAGGTGGACCTGGAGCAGGACCTCAAACAACAGGCTTGGGCCTACTTGGACAGCACCCTGCCAACCGAGGTAGACAATCCCCTTGACTACTGGGCAACGAAACTTGACCTTTGGCCCCAACTAGCTGAATTTGCCCTTGAAAGGCTGTCATGCCCAGCCAGTAGCGTGGCATCGGAGCGCGTGTTTAGTGCGGCAGGAGGTATTGTAACTCCATGGAGGACACGACTGTCCACCCAAAGTGTGGAGAGACTCACGTTTGTGAAAATGAATCAGGCGTGGATTAGTCTGGATTTCAAACCACCAGTTCCTGACACAACTGACTAAATCCGCCATGAATCATGCCCCAAACATGTGCCACTTTCAGGTCTCCTCACACTGCTGGTGGGTTCCATTTTGTCATAGGGTGCTGGCAGATTACGGGCCTCCCATTGCTGCTGCCAGGCCCGTAATCTGCCATGGGCCCCTGTACCGCCTCCTTATGCTGCTGCCAGGTCCAGAGTCTCTCATGGGTCCCTGTACGGCCTCCCATTGCTGCTGTCTCCATCGCCACACTCTGCCATGTGCCACTTTCAGGTCTCCTCACACTGCTGGTGTGTTCCATTTTGTCATAGGGTGCTGGCAGATTACGGGCCTCCCATTGCTGCTGCCAGGCCCGTAATCTGCCATGGGCCCCTGTACCGCCTCCTAATGCTGCTGCCAGGTCCAGAGTGTGTCATGGGTCCCTGTACGGCCTCCCATTGCTGCTGTCTCCATCGCCACACTCTGCCATGTGCCACTTTCTGCCACACTGCTGGTGGGTTCCATTTTTGTCATAGGGTGCTGTATGGCCTCCCATTGCTGCTGCCTCCACCGCCGCACTGTGGCTCCACACTCTGGTTTTGGCCCCGTGACTGCCCAAATGAGTGAAGTGTGCGGTGATTCTAAGATCGACGGCACTCATCTGCATGTCATACTGACTGACAGTATTATTTCTCTTCCCCAGCAGACTCCAAGGGCATTTAAATTAAAGGTACAGTGTTCTGCACTAATATAAAGGCTCTCTGAAGCCTAGAAACACCCTTTTATAAGTTAAAATCGCAGCGAATATATTCGCATCGAATCGAATTTATTCCTCGAATTCGCCGAATCAGCCGAATCGAACTTTTTGAATACTTCGCTCATCTCTAGTGATAACGTTCGTAAGGTGATCCATCTTATACATTTTCTGCAACAGCGGAAAATCCCAGGATTCTTACTGTCCTTAGACATATATAAAAGCCTTTGATTCTCTATCCTGGGAATATCTGCGGTTTGTGCTGTCTCGTTGGGGTTTTGGGGATTCTATTCTTTCTTGGATTCAAGCCTTGTATTCTTCTTTGGCCTCCGTTAAATACGCTGGGTATTTCTTGGATCCCTTTCCTATAGGGCGAGGGACGAGGCAGAGTTGCCCCTGTCCCCGTCGCGCTCTTTGTCCTGGCGCTTCAGCCGCTGGCTTTAGTGCCCCGGACCGATTGCAATGTATCGGGGGTTCCATATGCGGGACAGGAGTTGAACCTTTTTGCGGACGATGCCCTCTTAACCCTTACTAATCCTCTGGCAACGCTTCCTAATTTGCAACAGGTTCTTGAGAGCTTCTCCTTGATTTCGGGTCTCCGTATTAACTTGGATAAGACTGTCGCTCTCAATATTACTTTGGCTTCAGATTTGGTTTCGCGCCTACAATCCCACTTCCCTTACAAATGGGCTTCCTCTTCTCTTGAATACTTAGGCATTCACTTGACCCCCACCTATGACTCCCTGTTTGCTGCAAATTATTATCCATTGCTTAGCTCTCTATCTTCTTTTATGAATTCTTGGCAGTTTCCACACCTGTCTTGGATAGGACGGGTTCATTTGGTGAAAATGACCATCCTGCGGAAATTGTTATATTATTTTCGCACACTCCCAGTGCGGGTTCCCCCTCATTTTCTTTGGTTGCTTCAGGCGAAGTTTATGCGTTTTATATCTGGGCCGATAAGCACCCCAGTGTCTCCAGAAATGTGCTCTTTGCTCATAGACTCCAGGGTGGTCTTGGGGTGCCTAATGTAACCAAGTATTATCAGGTGAGCCAGATTGCCCCGCTGTCTATGTTGCATGCTTCCTCTGATGTTCCTCTCTGGGTCCTGCTGGAACTATCTAATTGTGCCCCTATTGCAACGTTTACGCTTCTATGGCTTCCCCCTGCCCTGCGCCCTATGGCACGGAGTGCGATGTTGCTCCATGGCTTACAAGTCTGGGACTCGCTACGTTACTCCGGTGGCCTGATGTCACCTTTTCTGCCTTTGTTCCTAATTATTAACAACCCTCTTTTCCCACCAGGTTTAGATCCCCCAAGGGCGGAATTTTTTCGATACCTTCAATTGCGGCACTGGCTGCTCTCGCTGTGGGGCACTTCTGCTTTCCCATACCAGAAATCTGCCTTTGAACAGCTTTGTCAGCAGCGTCCGGGCACCCCGGGCCTTATATCCCTTCTTTATGCAGCTCTGAACAGACGCTCGTTGCATACTTCTCTTTCATATGTTGTTCAGTGGAAGTGCGACCTGGGAGTGGCTGTGGATCCGGAGGACTGGAATAAGGCCTGGTCACTCATAGCTAAATGCTCATTTAAAACGACCACACTGGTGGCAGCCTATAAGGTATTGTTTCGTTGGTATCGGGTTCCGGCTCGTTTGGCCCAGGCAAACCCTGCCTGTAGTGATCGATGCTTTCGGGGTTGTGGCCATTATGGAGATGTATTGCATATCTGGTGGTCATGCCCAAGACTGTTTCGTATTTGGTCTCGTGTGTTTGGCCTCCTTTTCACCTTGTTCCATCTCTCCATATGCCGGGATGCTCGGTATGCCTTGCTTCATTGCCCCATACCGGGCCTCTTGGCTCACCAGCAGAAGTTGGCTTCCTATTTGTTTTTATCGGCCACTAGAACAATTGCTCAGGCCTGGAAGAGTCCGTTTGTCCCTCTTTAGGGGGTGCGGGATCGTATGACCACTATGATGCTCAACGAACAGATGTCGAGTATCTGCAATGACTCCCAACGTAATTTTTTTTAAAATATGGGAGCCGTGGTTGCAATATGCCTTTCCCACGCTCCCCTCAGCTAGTCTGGGGATGTAATGGCGTTGGTATTGGCGCTCTTGGACCCCTGCTCCGTGTTTTTTTTTTTTGTGTTTTTTTCCTTTCTCTCTTTCTCTGTTTATTTTTGGTGTGACAGTGGATAGCTGCCTTTAGTTGTTACAGTCGGAGTTACATTAATGTTATTGTAACTTATGAGGGAAGCCACAAAGGGAGGAAAGATCAAACTCCCAAAATGCCCTTAACCTGCTCAGTTGGTTGGCACTGTATAGCCCAGAGGATCTAACAGCACAATGCAAATGCCATAAATCCATATACAGTATGTCTCCTCTGTCCAGATGTACGTGTCACAGGCATCAGTGGAGGAGTATGTGCTGACTCTTGGATATATGTATATTCTATATAGACATCTTATCTTTTGGTGCCTGATGGTTTCAGTGATATGAGTGTTTTTGGCATTGTGCCGTAAGACCTTCTGGACTATACGGTTCCATGGGTTGCAGGAAAGAAAATCGCATAATCCTTGGCCAGCTTTATCTTCCATAACATTAAAGCCTAATTCTTTCACCGATATAAGAAAATCTCTGTGTGTGATGATTGTCTCTATTTACACCATAAGGACATCAAAATTTACTCTACAGGAAGTCACAGATATCCAGAATATCACCACTGATGCTAAAATTAGGAGTACTGGTTATAGTAGGAGATTCACATCATATATAACATTTTTATTCCTAAAACTTTACTCCATGAAAAAAGTACAGCAACATGTTTTTATGCATGTCAGCACGAAGCAATCTGAAAACCAAAGTTTAGGATTGTTAAACTTGGCTTCTCTGATGATCTGGGTTGAAAATTGTCCCTTTTTCCCCCTTTTTGTAATTAGAGGATGAACCCATAAATATCCTCAAGTTTACAGTTTTAAAGCAGAACTAAAATTGAAATAAAAATTGAATTATCAGAATCTTTATTGCAGAAGAGATATGCCTCATCTGCAATTAAACACACCATCCTGCAAGGCCCAATTAAGACTAAAGAATGACATCTGGCAGAAGCTGGCGAGAAGATGCTGGTGTAGGACCTCATGGACATGTTTGAAAAAGGCTAGAGCCAGCACAATGATCATGCCAGTGAGAGCAGACATTGTTCAAAAACAGAGGAGATTCTTCCCATTGTTTCCATGCTGCAAACAATGAGAATCCTGTAGAATAAGGAAGTGACATCACAAGAACTAGAAACAAAAGACTACTTTAACCACTTGCCCTCTTGAGGATTTACCCCCCCCCCCCCCCTTCCTGACCAGGTCTCTTTTTGCTACTCGGCGCTGCACTGATTCAACTAATAATTGCGCGGTCATGCAATGCTGCACCCAAACGAAATTTACGTCCTTTTTTTCACACAAATAGAGCTTTCTTTCGGTGGTATTTGATCACCTGTGCGCTTTTTATTTTTCACGCTATAAACAAAAAAAGACCAAAAATTTTGAAGAAAAACAATATTTTTAATTTCAGCTAAAAAAAATATATAGTAAACTCAAAGTTAGTTATAAATTTAGGCCAAAATGTATTCTGCTACATGTTTTTGGTAAAAAAAAATCCCAATATGTGTATATTGATTGCTTTGTGTGAAAGTTATAGCGTCTACAAACTATGGTATAAATACTGCAATTTACGCCATTTTTTTGCTATACAGCGCTGCGCTAGTTTAACGGACAATTGCACGGTCATGCAATATGGTGCATAAATGAAATTTATGTCCTTTTTTGCACACAAATAGAGCTGTCTTTTGGTGGTATGTTATCACTTGTGCACTTTTTATTTTTTGGCGCTATAAACAATAAAATTTGTGAAGAAAATGTTTTTTTTTTTAAAAAAAACTATTTTCTCATTTCGGTCATAAAAAATATCCAAAAAAAAAACAAAATTTCGTCATAAATTTAGGCCACAATGTATTCTCCTACATGTTTTTGGTTAAAAAATCCTAGTAAATGTCTATTTATTGCTTTGTGTGAAAGTTATAGCGTCTACAAACTATGGTATAGATAATGGAATTTACACAGCTTTTACTTTCTGACTGCCAATCACATTTCTTGAGGTGCTAAAATACCAGGATAGTACATACATCCTCAAATGACCCCTTTTTGGAAAGTAGACACCCTAAGCTATCTGCTGAGAGGCATATTGAGTCCATGTAAGATTTATTTTTTTCCCACAAGTTTCTGGAAAATGACAAAAACCTTTTTTTTTTGTACACGAAGTTGTCATTTATATGATTTATTTCTCGCACAAGCCATGCGTATATGTGGAATTACACCCCAAAATACATTCTGCTACTTCTACCAAGTATGAGGATACCACATGTGTGAGACTTTTTGGGAGCCTAGCCACATACAAAAGCCTGAAATTCAATGACCACTTTGAAAGCCTGAAGGTGCGCAACCTCCTCATTTCACTTCCTCAATACCTATCACAGTTTCGAATGCCCTGACATGCCAGGATAATGGCTCCCAGAATCATCACTCACTGTAGAAACTTCACACTGGACTTCATGCAACTTGGATTCTGTGCCTCTCCACTCTTCCTCCAGAATGAGGAAAGACAAAACAGAGGGCGCACAGGCCTAGTGCATTACCATAACAAATGTTTAATAAAAAATAAAGTAGGTGTTGTACTCACAAACGACAATATAGTCAAGGCACATCATAAAGAACAGCTGGGTCAACACCGCGCTGAGTAACAGTCCGCAATAGGGAGTTTAGACATCCAAAAGGCTGACGCGTTTCGAGGACTTGCCTCTTCCTCAAGCCTTGACTATATTGT